CTGTGTGCATGTGTGTAAAACAACAAACTGACGATTTATATGTAATCATTTGTAATTGTATATGCATTGTTGCGATTAATTGTGGCTGGAACAATAATGTAACTGTAAAAATAGTTGCCTGCTGAAATTGAAATATATATACATCTTCATCATGACTAGATAAACACGGTGAGTTTGTCTTTACTATACACACTATGAGGTGGATCACATCTAACAACAATCCTGTCAGATCGTCCATCCTTTGAGTATAACGTGTAACGTTACAGGTCGGCCGATCTGGTTTCGTGGTTAAAGTTAACCTTTTCGACATGTTTCCGTGTTGTTGTTGCTCAGCAAAAGCATGGACGCGATGTTGTCTGGGGGTTTGGCAAAAGGAGAGTGGGACGGTGGGTGGTGCTCGGGGTGGTGACTGAAGGCAGTGACTGTAGTTCTGACGTCAACTTTTTACAGAAGTCACGGTTCGTGAAAAATAGCTAGAACTTTAAGCAGGCTGTGTGAATTTTACTGTGGACTGACTGTTTTGAAACTTATATGGTAGTTAAATAGCCCCTAGACCTCAGTAATCGTGAAAAAAGCCAGGAAATTTCAGTTTTGACAATATGGGACCTTTAAACGCCGCACCTGCAGCTGCTTTTCCTCAGGAAGAGGGTCTGTGTTGAAATTAGTTTGATGAAACAAATTAAAAGCTGTATTTTTGGCTCATCCCTTCCTAGTAAAACAATCAAAAGAACTTCTTGCCGTTTACTTTTTACATTACATTCTACATTTAGGATGAGAGTCGTGGTGTATCAGCCCCCATCGCAGCTGGGGGGCGAGGTGGGGCACAGGAAGTACGTGCTTCCTGCTTGCAAGTGGCCGTCGTTTCAGTTTGTGCGCTCGTGCCGGTAGGAGAGAGACAGGAATAAACAAATGGAGTCGCTTTACTAGCGTTAACCCTTTCTGTGCTTGATCCACACAATGATCCACATGAATCTATACATCTCAGACTCCATATCACAGTTCCTAGACCACTGCCTTGGCTTAATCAGATCCATATATGCTCATCAGACTGTCTGATTGAATTAATCTTTCTCTTCCCACAGCTACGCCATCACCGTTTGGTACTTTGATGCAAAAGAGCGGGCTGAGGCTAAGGAGAAGTACAGACTGGGTGAGTTTCGGACCTCTTAAAAGAAACTTGTGGCTTAGGCTGTTTTCTCACTACATGTTTTCAGTTTGCCTTAAGAGTTCAGTGTGTTTGGTTGGTGGGAACAGAGTCACTGTTATACTTATGTTGACAATGGAAGAGTATAGCGGATCACAACCAAATAGTATAATGTGAAAACAGACCTGTGAGAAGGGTGGAATCAAACTCAGTTAAGACTAAGCTGCCAAACCAAGTGTCAACCTTATATCACTGTAATTTTATATCACATGTAGAGTACACATCACATTATAGTACAGAATTTTGTACAGAAATTCAGCATAAATTAATTTTAAGCAATTAAAGTAAATCGACACCATAAATTCGCACACACACACATATATGTGTATATGTGTGTGTGTGTGTGTGTGTTATTCAAAAGTTTGGGGTCAGTATTTATTTATTTTTTTCAAAAGTGACAGTAAACACATTTATAATGTTTCAAGAGATTTCTGTTTTTAAATAAATGCTGTTCTTTACAACTTATTATTCATCAGAGAATCCTGAAAAAATGCAGCATGGTTTTTCATTAAAACATTAAGAATCACAACTGTATTCAACATTGATTTAAAAAAAAAAGGTTGGAAATGGATGAAAATTCAGCTTTGCCATCACAGGAATAAATTACATTTTAAAATATGTTTTTAAAAAGTTAATTTTTGACAATATTTATAAATAATTGAGGAATACATGCAGACTTGGTGAGCATAGGAGGCTTCCTTCAAAAACATTACAACTTTTACTGACTACAAACTTTTGAATGACTGTGTATAAAAATAAAAATAATTTATATACAGTGGGTACGGAAAGTATTCAGACCCCCTTAAATTTTTCACTCTTTGTTATATTGCAGCCATTTGCTAAAATCATTTAAGTAAATTTTTTTAACTTTTTTAACGAAAACCTTCTCCAGAGTGCTCAGGACCTCAGACTGGGCCGAAGGTTTACCTTCCAACAAGACAATGGCCCTACGCACACAGCTAAAATAACGAAGGAGAGGCTTTTCAACAACTCTGTGACTGTTCTTGAATGGCCCAGCCAGAGCCCTGACTTAAACCCAATTGGGCATCTCTGGAGAGACCTAAAAATGGCTGTCCACCAACGTTTACCATCCAACCTGACAGAACTGGAGAGGATCTGCAAGGAGGAATGGCAGAGGATCCCCAAATCCAGGTGTGAAAAACTTGTTGCATCTTTCCCAAAAAGACTCGTGGCTGTATTAGATCAAAAGGGTGCTTCTACTAAATACTGAGCAAAGGGTCTGAATACTTAGGACCATGTGATATTTCAGTTTTTCTTTTTTAATAAATCTGCAAAAATGTCAACAATTCTGTGTTTTTCTGTCAATATGGGGTGCTGTGTGTAGATTAATGAGGGAAAAAAAATTAACTTGAATGATTTTAGCAAATGGCTGCAATATAACAAAGAGTGAAAAATTTAAGGGGGTCTGAATACTTTCCGTACCCACTGTATATATATATATATAATACATTTATATATTTATAATAAGTATGCATTTCTGAGTTAAGCTATAATCAGCAGCATTTTTCTTTATATGATAGATAATCATAACCTGTTTTTAATCATTTAATACAAAAAAGGTACATCTTAATATGATTTTCTTCTTTTTTATGTGTACCTTGAGGAACACAAAAAGCTGCTTCACATTAGGAAGCACAAGCTAAAAACAAAAGATCCAAAATACATCAGTCTGATTGGATGAGCTGCATTCAAAGCTGTGAAAATGAAGAATTTAACGATTCGATATGATTTCAATTCATTCACAAGCTTGCATTTCAATTCAATTTGATTCTATTCATTACCAATTCATTTGGATATGTATCAGGTAAAGTACATGGCGATTTTTCAAAAAAAATAAAAACCTACCTAATGCTGTAAACTTTCAATTTTAAAATGGTAAAGGTTAATAACAACATTTAAATAGTTTTTATACTAACTTTAATGATAACATTTCTGCTTCTGTCTGTTTTAGTGTTAATATTATGCAGAGTAAAAGTTGACAGCTGGTTCTCAGCCTGTTAAAGTCTTTCTTTAGTTGTCTGCAAAATACTGATGACTTTAATTTGCCTTCTGTCCATCATTAAATATCTTCTCTCTCTCTCTGTCCTTCACAGCTATAGGACAGAAAGGAGTTAAAGTGTCCGTCACACAGAGCAGCAAAACCTGAATCTCAGTCATTTGAGTGAACACTCAAGTGTGTCCTGTTTATGTGTGTGACAGCCCGTGCCGCTGTGCCGTTTTCAAGAGGAGGTGCAAAAGTTCTGTGGCCTCAAACATCCAACAAAACATATGATTTGATTGGGACTGTCCTTAAATGAACACCATAAACCGATATTTCTCAACTTGATGGTCATGACTCTGAACGGCTAGCAGGATTGGCCAATTTTCCTCATCCCGTGGAAAGTCTACAGCAGAAACATCACAAACAGACATGAGTTACTTTAGTATTTTGACAAATTACTGTATTTAATAAGAACTACAATCTCTAAAATCAGCCTTCGCTTTTCACAACGCTACACCTCTGTGTGTAAAATGGGTAGATGAGATTGCCCAGTGGCCTTTGTCATATCCTGTTTAGCCCCATGAATATGTAACCAGCTTAGCACTGAGATCTGACTTATGCCAAAGCACAACTAGGTCATGAAAACTGACAAAATAACCAACAATCACATGATACATGAATGCTTCAGTGGACAAAATCCCTTACGATTGAGCCTGAGCCCTTGGAAACATTCAGGGGGAATTCATTCCGAATCAACAGCGCCCTCTGATGGAGTCAGTTTACACGCAATGCTTTGCTACAGGAATTACGCAAATCTGGTAGCGCTACAAACATTCGCGCGGAAAGCAAATTTGCTTGCCATGGTTTCTGAGTTTGCAGCAGACTTTAGGACCGTTCACATAGGATGTATTTTTGCGGCGCTGTTTTTTAATAGTTGTCTTCGCCAGTGCTTCACATCTCGGTGTATTATCTCTCCACGAGAGTTGCGCTTTTAAGGCGCTGCTTCAATTAAAACAGTGATTTAACTTTAATAAACGCATCCAGACTGTGTCCCGTATGAACAGCCGCAATTTGTAATACTTTGCTGGTACTGTAAACTGATGCACCAATAATAAAATTCTGGCCGATAATGAAAAGCGATAATTATTGACTAATTATACTTGTATGTTATAACCGATAACCGATAAATGGATATCAATATTAAAATTCTATACTATTTTGCAAATGATACATTAAAAATAAAACACTAAAAACATGCAAAAAATGCAAAAAGTTAAAGTAGGTGTCACAACATCATAATGTACAGTATGAAATATGATTACATTTAACAGTTATCAAATTATTAGTGTTTTTAAAGAAGTTTAAGTGTTGTGTTAGTGTTGCAGCAAAGAAAATGAAATATAAAAATGCAGAAAATGAGCTGAACAGATAAATATACAATATCGATTAATTAAAAAATATCTAATATCGGCAAATACCCAATATGGCACCGATATATCATACATTCCTGACTGTAACTGTAGGTCTAAATTAGAGATTTATATATTGAATTTCATGTAAAATTTCCACTTATTTGGATTACAGTTTTAACAAAGTAATAAACTTATTGGAATGCATATCTGTCAGTCATGCATAAAAGAAACACATAAGATTTATGTAACAGCACTAATAAACTGACTGTTTTAAAGACACAATAAATCAGGTTTATACTGTATATTTTTTCCCATCAATAAATCTAATTTCTTTCAATCTCATACATTTGAACTAACTAAATAGTTGCTTGTTCTAAAGCTAGCCATGTTTTAACAATGTTAACCATACATTTTAACTGACTAAATGTAATAGTTTTTGCAATGAACAGGTTTATGGCCATTCTAAGCTATTTGAATGAATGCATTTTAATAATATAATTGTTTAGAAAAAATCAAATAGATGCAAATAGTCAATAATAAACTATGCAATGTGGTGTTTTTACATGATTCTTACCCGTTTAATTTATGACTGACAAATATGCATCACGTTACATTTATTAGTTTGTTTGCGGTAAAACTGTGTAAACTAAATGAATGGAAATTTTATGTGTTTCAAATAAAATAAACTCTTTTCAGCTCTTCAAAATGCTGAAAATGCTCCATCTCTGGATATATGCCCGATTTTAATACTCTTCGTCATCATTTGATGAAATTCTTCTTTTAAATTCCTTTTAAATAAAATCCAGTTTACCTGCTTTCCATAGATGGCTACGATAAGTGCTATGGCCACGAGCCTCATTTGGCTAGAAAGAAGCTACGTTTGCCCAGAAAATAGTGACAAGGACTAGCCGTAGCACAAGTGATTTCACCCCTCAGTTTTCAGGTCATAATTTACAGCCAATTAGAATTTGCAATCTGCAGAATGTATGTTCTGTAACAAAATGTCGAAACAGGGTGACCTTTTTTTAATGTAGTGCATTACTGCTGCATGCTATATTGGCTTTAAGGGGTCTTTCTATAGAGATACACTTACCTGAGAGCTGACAATCTTCTTCCTGCCTCAGAGAGGCACTGTACAGCAAAAGAGATCAATATGGGGCTTTCCTCAAATTCTGGCAACAGTTCTTACAGGTGACCTGGAACATACAACAGCCTCATTCTATCAGGTGTCCACACATGCACTACCCTTGTGCCTACATCTCCCAGAGGGCATTGCAAGTTCATCAGGTGCTTATAAGAGTCTATGTTCAGAATAGAATACTGGCATACTGCACCATATACACTGTACACGGCTTATACGTTTTAAAATACAGTATGTGACCGTTTCCAAAGCTAAATTTTAGTAGTATGTTAAATTGTCATCAAATAAACTCATGATCATGCCAACAACATAAAAATTAGGGAAAACAGTTGTTTTGCTTTTTAAAATCAGGTTTGTACGGAGCCTGACATGCAAGAAAAAATAAATAAATTGTGCGGACGATTTACTAATTCGTTCCCTCGATGTACTAAAACGTGCACACAATTACCATTTCGTTCTCTCGCTTTGCTAAATAGTGTGCACAATTTACTAATTCGTTCCCTCGATATACTAAAACGTGCACACGATTACTTTTTCATTCTCTCGATTTGCTAAATCGTGTGCACAATTGACTAATTCGTTCTCTCGATTTATAAATTGTGTGCACGATTTAGCACATCAAGGGAACGAATTAGTGAATTGTGCACACGATTTAGCAAATCGAGAGAACGAAAAAGTAATCGAGTGCACGTTTTAGTATATCGAGGGAACGAATTAGTAAATCGTGCGCACAATTTATAAATCGAGGGAACGAAATAGTAAATTGTGCGCACGTTTTAATACATTGAGGGAACGAATTAGTAAATTGTGCACACGATTTAGCAAATCGAGAGAACGAAATAGTAATCGTGTGCACGATTTAGTAAATCGAATGAACAAATTAGTAAATCGTGCACACAATTTATAAATCGAGGGAAATGAAATAGTAAAATTGTGCGCACATTTTAGTACATCAAGGGAACGAATTAGTGAATTGTGCACACGATTTAGCAAATTGAGAGAACGAAATAGTAATCGTGTGCACGATTTAGCAAATCGAGGGAACGAAATAGTAATCGTGTGCACGATTTAGCAAATCGAGGGAACGAATTAGTAAATTGTGCACACGATTTAGCAAATCGAGAGAATGAAATAGTAATCGTGTGCACGATTTAGTAAATCGAGGGAAATGAAATAGTAAAATTGTGCGCACATTTTAGTACATCAAGGGAACGAATTAGTGAATTGTGCACACGATTTAGCAAATCGAGAGAATGAATTAGTAAATCGTGCGCACGATTTAGCGTACTATTTTTTTTCCCTGCATGCCATGTGCGGGGCTCCGTAGGTTTGTGTAATAATGTCTTAAGATAAATGTATGCAAAATATGAATAAATACATATTTTACCATTTGTAAATATATTTAAATGCACCTGGGTATTACTTCCTGTTCATTCCTCTCTCTGGAAAAAGAAGGTCAAGCACAATGCATTGTGGGTGCTGCGGTCCATTCAGTGTGCTTTGGTCAAATACTGCACATTTTGTATGTTGTAGGCCATCCAGGTATTTCATGCAAGCATTTGCATATTATGCAAAGTATACATACTGTATATTGCTGAAACGGTATGAGAGAAGTGTGCTATTCTGAACATAGTCACAATCTGAGAACCTGACAACAGCACGGAACAGATTTCCCAGCATACTATGGCATTGAGCTGTTCTGTGCTTGAGTGCCATAGATGGCCAGAGAAGTGAAACAGTAAAGCACTTTATCATAGAATGTGTGATGTGTGAATGAGAAGCTATGGAAAGAAAATGCTATGTGCCGTGTAACGGAATTAATCAACTGAGAACAAAAACACGTTTGCTTAAACGTTCTGAGTTTTGCAGTATTTCATTAAAATGTGTCAGATTTTGTACAGCTGACCACTGTGGTGTTTTTCTCTTTAGCTTTGATATAGCTATATTTGGGTCATTATTCTACTTGATACTTCATAAGAACTCAGTTTCTTTTTAAATAGTTGAATAGTAAAAATTATATGTTAAAACAATATTTGTAAGTCAAAAACAAAAATGAAGCAAAAAATAAAATGGATGTTGCCTTGGATAACAAATAAAGCTAAATAGAAATCTAAAAAAACAGTATGTATGACAAAATGCATTATTACTGATGAATTTTAGGTTGAAGTTGCAAAAATTTCTAATAATGAGCCTAATAATCTATTAAAGGGGTCATATGATGCGATTTCAAGTTTTCCTTTCTCTTTGGAGTGTTACAAGCTCTTGGTGCATAAAGAAGATCTGTAAAGTTACAAAGACTAAAGTCTCAAATCTAAAGAGATATTCTTTATAAAAGTTAAGAGTCAGCCACACCTACCTAAAACAGCTCGCTCTAACACGCCCCGACATGTCTACGTCACTATGTGGAAAGATTTGCATAATGCCGCCCAAATGTTCACGCAAAGAAAGAAGGCGTAACTTTTATTCTCGCTGTAGTATTGTTGTTGCCGCCGCCGCCATGTCGTGAAGGTGCTGTGTGCTTCGTTGTGAAAGCGAAACTACTTTGTTTGGTCTTCCAAAAGAGGACGATATC